GATTTTATATATATATATATATATATATATATATATTTACAAATTCTTTTAACATTCATATTTAAATACAACTCATTAAATTTGTATGGAAACATCGCACAGTTCATTCATATCTCACAATGAACTGTCGGCAATTTCCAATTGTTTTATGGTTATCCTATACAACTGTTTCTTTCCAACTTTTTAAGAACAGTTAAGAAAACAGATAACCACAATTAAATTTTTAGCAATTAAACTAATTTAGATATATTACAAGACTATTACTAATAAAAAATCGCACAAGTTATTTCAAAAATAGTAGTACAAATTTAAAACAATGCATTTATTCCTGCATAGGAAAATAAAAGTGTAGAGAGACTAATATCTCTACTAGAAAGATTCAAATCATATTAAGTACTGAAAGCTATTTTATGTTAGATGAGAAAAATGCAGGCCAAAATATAAAAAGCATAATTTAGACTATGGAAATAGAACTGAGTCAGAATTAACTATCTTTCATTTTAGATCAGTGTTTCACAAACTTTTTGGACTACCACTCTCTTTTAGTACATATATTTCTTATATTTTTTTTTATTTCTTTCAAAATGGATTTTTGTCCTCCTTGTGTCTTCTGTCCTACAGATAGTAGTAGTGCACACTTTGGAAATCACTGTTGTAGATGACTACTGTATTTGATAGACATCTAAGACAGTCTCATCTATGTTAAAAACTTGTTTAGATATATCTTCACTGATTATCACTCTCAGCTCTTCTCAAAAAATGTTCATTAACTGTTATATCCACATTGGCTGCTTTGCCCTTTAATGAAACGCTATGTAAATTNTTTTTATTTCTTTCAAAATGGATTTTTGTCCTCCTTGTGTCTTCTGTCCTACAGATAGTAGTAGTGCACACTTTGGAAATCACTGTTGTAGATGAATAAAAAATTTAACATTATTATTAGTACTACATTAGTGGATTGAATCCTAGTCAGTTAATACCAGTACCTAATACAATGACAGACCAAGATCATAACATAATTGCAGAAAAAGCTGTTATTTGATTACATGTTATATGTATGTGTTTAAAAACTTGCTGTGTGGCATGTTTAGTACGGCTGCTATCTTAATGTGATATAAAAACAAAATTGAAATCTCACTTCTACATCATAAAATTTCACAATTTAATTTAAATTAATTCATAAATTTTATTTAAATAAGAAAAAGACTCGTGTTGCATCGTAAAATCAAATTTTCTTAAAGCAAGGAAGCAGTGAATTCAAAATAATTTTGTGGTGTGTCGTGTTTTGAGTAAACAAAGAAAACAGACAGCACTAAGAGCAAAGATAATCGTATATTAACACTAGGAATACAGCCAGAACGGGATCGTAGGGGAAACATACATACAATAAGACTAGTTGTTCTTAATCCAAGTTCTTACTATTCTTCTCTTTTCGCTCGGTCCTTTCCTTTTTTCGTATTCCCGCCAAAGTCTTCAAACAGAAAAAGGTATCCCATGATCCATTTACACTCCTTATATACCAATTGTCCCTAGCACCCCCTCGCATTACATTCCAAAATTACAAATTAAAAAATAAAATAGACAATTATTATAACACACGAATATTTACATTGATATAACGTTACTAATAATACATATAAACAATAATATTTTAGTATAAAAGAAACACCACATTTAAGCCTTCATGAAGGGAGGAAGAAAAAAAAATGGTGGGCACCACCACAATTTAAACAGAAGAAATTGCACACTCCATGAGAGAGAGAAAAATCACTTATCATGTGCTATTTTTGATCCAGCATGGACCCATTCACGATCATTACATTCCCCCCCCAAACTTACTGGGAGTGGCAGAATTTTAGCAGAAAAGCAGATCATTGTCAATGTGTTTTTGAAAACCTGACTAACTCTATGGCGATATTATGGTATACAAGGTCTGTTCAAAAAGTATTGGACCTTTTTTTCCCCCGCATAAACCAATGACGCGCGGGAGGCCTCGTTCAATGGAGTTGTGGAGGGGACAGTCATGCAGTCCTGAATTTTTTCTCGCCTGCAGGAAGCATCAGTTGCTGGCAGTCAGCCTATGAGTGAGGACGTGTAGTGAGCACTCATCAGATTCCACTAGGTTGGAAAATGACTGAACAACGTGAGCAGCGATATTGCAACAAATTTTGCCAAAAGCTTGGTGATACCCAAGTGGAAACCATTCAGAAGATTCAGCAGGCTTTCGGAAATGATCCTTGAGGCCAAAAAAAGTGCGACAGATCTGCAACAATGTCAAGGTCATGTTGACAGTTTTTTCGACTCCCATGGGGTGGTGTATCGTGAGTATGCACCACAAGGCCAAACCATTGCAAAGGAGTTCTACCAGGAGGTCCTTTGTAGTCTTTGTGATGCTGTGTGACACAAACGACCGGATCTGTGGTCAACCAAAACTTAGCAGCTCCATCATTATAATGCACCAGTCCATTCTGCACATCTGATTCGGACTTTTGTCGCCAAACACAACATTCCTGTGGTTCGTCACGCTCCGTACTCTTCCGACATGGCTCCGTGTGACTTTCGGCTATTTCCCAAGCTGAAAATGAAGCTAAAAGAAACCTGATTTGAGTCAAGAGAAGACATCATTCAGAATGCAACGGACCGGCTGATGGCCATTCCAAAAGATGCATTCCAGAGGTGTTTCCAGCAACGGCAGGACTGCTGGGAGAGAAGTGTATACATTACCAAGGAGACTACTTTGAATGGGATTAGGGTTTTGTACCTCAAAATCAATAAATGTGTTTTTGCCGACCAAAGATCCAATACTTTTTGAACACCCCTCGTATAGTAATAGTTACAAATTAATTTTATTAATTAATTTATTTTTACATTTAAAGATTTACAAAGATTTTTAAATCAAATTTAATAGGCTGGTTTAATCTTTTTTTCAAAAAAAATCAACACAATTACAAAGCAAATTACACTTATGAGCATTTTTGTTTCAAAAAAATTTTAAATACTAGATTTCAGAATGAATTGTTGATAATAATGATGAAAATAATCAAACACCTTAGTATTTCCAGCAACGAAGTATTTAATAAAATAAAAATGTTTTCGACTATATTTAATAGTCTTCCTCAATTAAGCCACTTTAAAACAAAAACGAACGTAAAATAGAACGCAAGCAACACAAAGGTTTAAAAAATTGAAATTAATTACAACAAAATAAAACGTAAAAAACAAAATTAAATTACAAATAAAATATTAAGAAATTAATCGTGGTAAAGAATTAAAAAAACAAAATTAATTGTCATGGTAAAAAGATTTCCATGTGCAAAATAGACTTTCTGTGTCTCTATGGTTGATGCATCCTTTGTTAATATGCGCCTTGTAAATTTCAAGTTTTTCAATATGTTTAAGGACTTGTTTGTTGGTGGCTGTCCTAATTATGGATGCTTTGTCCCAATGTACAGTACATTAATCTCTTGATGTTTAGCAAAGGCTGCAAGGACAGTGCTGTCCACATTTTTAGTAATAGAATATTTATGTTCTTTAATCCTCTGTTTTAAAAGTCTCATAGCGGCACCAACGTAAACGAGATCTGAATTAAAACGGCGGTCATTTAAAGGAATAGAATAAACTCCTGTACTATTGTTACGGTTTCCTTTCTTCTTATCATTTCATAAAATTCTATAAATCGTCTGATTACGACAATAAATAACTCTTAAATTATTCTTGTGAGATACTTTTTTAATCATCGATTGTAGGAAAGGTATATAGTTGAGAACTACTTTTCGTCCTTGGTTTAATATATGATGATAATAATGATAAAACTATCATCCAATCACACACAATTTTGTCATCTAAATGTTTAAAAATTTAATTTAATTTATAACACTAAAAATTTTATTAAGTTCCTGCTTAATAATAATAACTCTCCCTTGGTCACCACCTGGTCATGGTGGGAGAGTCCAGTAATTTTACTGATCCATAGGGCAATGCAGGCTGGAGCACAAGCTCCTGGTAGAGACACCCATGCCAGTAAGGTCTATGGAAACAAATGAAGCTAAGAGTGACCACACCTACATTCTGTGGAGTTAATTATCATGGTAGTAACCAGATCAAAGTGTGATACTGGCTCGGACATAACCCGGTTTAACAAGGTCCGCGTTCATGAGTTAGGCAGAGGCTCATGTTCGAAAAATAGGCCACAGTCTCCTTGGTTTCTGGTGGCGAAAGCAGCGTTGGCCTAACCATGGCTACTGCAATGCCCTCAACAGATATGAGGAATCAACCTAGTCTTGGTGTTTCTGTGGCAATGCATCCACAGACCACAAAGGTTGGAAAACCAAGCCAACGGATGAAATGGACAATAGAAATGAACGAGTTTATCTTTACTTTTATTTTAGTACTTACTACACCATCACAAAACTCGAAACAAACATGACAGCATACAGACAACAACTACACCATAGATTCACACAACAATATCATCACCTCACTGTCACCGAACAAAGGGTTGTTGATCAAAAAAAAAAAAAAAAACAATTATACACAACAACCTTATCCCACAACCAACAACACTTGAACTTATCAAACAACAGGTTGCTGATCAAATACATCAACAGACAAACATTTAACATTATTGATGAAGATCACGTAACCTGTCAGGATAATCCAGCAACAAGCATTGATAATAGCACACATACAACAACTACAACTAATGATACTACAGGCACTTCCTCATCCATCACTGATAACAGACATAGAATTAGTTAATATGCTCCCATTTATATTTCAGGAAACACTCACTAAATATACTGATACAGATCCCACACACAGACTATGAATAGCAAAAATCAACACATCAAAGGAAGTAGGAAAACATTATATTATGTAAACACTCACTACCAAACTACATTCATTCAATTTCTACACTCTCAGACATGTCAGACACTCTCTGTGACTGCCCCAGTATACATTAGTTTATGTTGGGGCAGTAACAGTAGTAACACACCATGGTCTGAAAATACAATCACAGACACACACACAAAACATGAACATCACAACACACACATTACAGAATACATCGATATATTAAAACAAAAACTCGCAGCCAAAGCACGTAGACTCAAATGATACAAGACGTGTACACTACGAAAACAACAAAATAAATTATTCACAAACAACGAAAAACTTTTCTACAGACAAATCAGTACCAAAACAAACAGTGA